GTTGAGAACCACTGACATAGGTGGACAAAAATATGATTTTTGCCTTTTATAGTCCGTAAGAAAATTGAATCCTTTAAGATCTAGTTTGAAAATAAATCAGGTCAGGTTTGACTCACTGGGAAAGTTCACACAAAAGAATGTAGGTAATCTAAAACAGGATACAAAAGAGTGGTTAGTCCTGCTATACAGGTTTGCTAAGCATTTGTGTGTGTATTTTTAGGTGTATTGTTTTGTTTCTGTCTTAGAAATGATGAATCTTCTGTTTCACTTTAAACAATATTGTTCTGGTTCACTTTGTGTAAATGAAAGAACTGAGCTGCAAAACTCTGAAATCTCATGTGGCTTACACCTCTTAAGAGCTAAGCCCCATAAACTCAATTATTTTTAGCAGATAATATATATTGCACTGTCAAATATTGTGTTTATGAAATCTAACTCATTTGGCAAAGATCCCATGGAAGGACTAGAAGAACTGAATGTTGAAATAGCTAAATAAACCTCTCTTTTTACCTCTTTAGTTAATTAAATTAGTATAATTCAGTTTAATGTTATGCCTGCCATAACACAAATTTAATTAAGAAAATGGAAATATATATTTGTCATAGGCAGAGGTTAAAGTTGGGCATACTACTTCATCACTATTACATTAATCATAAGGGAAGCAACAGTATAAAAGACAAGGAACCTACATGAGAAACATAATTTACTTTCTGAAAGAACAATATGAATTTCTTATCATGTGATATACTGTAGATAGAAATTTACTATTAGCAGTTTGTCAAAAATGTGCCTGAAACACAAGATTATGATTTGTATTTCATTTCCATTTTTCCTGTTTCAGGATGATGATTTTTTAAAACCTGTTCTTACTAATCTATTTCCTCTGGCATACATTTTGATCCTCAGGAGGCTGACAAGATAAATGTGACTGAAAGTAACTGCACTTTCAGAAATATGTAAATTTTGGATGGAGAAACGGCTGTATGTTAAAAACTCAATCATTATAAAAAGTGAGTTCATTGTGTAACTACCTACTTAGTTACACAATGAGCATATTTGGAAGATCCAGGGAAGAAATCAAACATCAACAGAGAAGCTAATGTATGTGTGAAGAACATCTCATATTCTATCACTAGCATGTCCAGGTAGAATTTTAAAAAATCAAATGCCTATGATCCCAGGAATTAACTGGCAGTTAACATAAAAGGGTTTTCTAAATGAATTGGGGGACTGATTCATGAAGATGGGTCTCCTTCTGTAAGTAAAGGTCTAGGAGCATTGAATGCACAGAAGAACAACTACTTGATAAACTAAAATATCAAAACAAAAATGAATTAATATGGTTTTTCTCCTATCACTAAATGTTACTGCTCTTTTGCATCTTCCTGAATGAAGACAAATGAAGAAAGCTGAAAGCCTTCTGAATTGTTCTTCCTCCCTTTTCCTATTATTTTTAATTAAAGGAAAGTAAATCTAATTAAAAGTCTATTTGAAAAAAGTTATCTTACTCAAATAGTTTTTTGTCTCTTTTTTCTCTGTCTGTGCATACTTACGTACATTCACAGAACGTGTATTTTGGGGTTAGTTATAGAGGTTTTGTTTTTGGCAATAACATCAAAATAAATTTCCAGAGTGTTCTGGAATGTTTTTTTTCAGCTTTTCAGTTTAGTTTCTTACTGGTCTTTAATCCAAGTGTAATCAGATCCAATTTGTGCTTATCTTTCATGGACAGCCAAATGTGCCAAAGTGCAAAGGAGCATCCAACTGCCTGTGTGGGATGCTGGTCATAGATTGAGTTAAGGCATGTAAAACCAACTACTGTCCCCAGAAAATAGTGGACTGTCCTTTGGTCAATGTCTTCAAGCTGAAGCTAGCCAGTATGTTAATTGAGATTCCTTCAGCATATAAATTAGATTCTAATCTCAATAGCCATTTCCAACTCTATGATTTCACATTTTCTATACATGATTGACAACATTTAACCCAGTTATGAAGGGATGATTCAGACATCCTGGATAAGATCGTATCTTATTTATATGTACACAAAGTGTAATGCAGTCTCCCAAGTGAAACTATTTGTTTGAATGAGGAATTGTGCCAAATGACAAAATGATAAGCATATATATAGTCATTTCATAAAACAGAATGTGCATATTCCTGCCCATTAACAAGTGGCATTCAATTATGGCAAAGAGAAAGAAAAAAGATGTAACTTATTAAGTGAAGTTTCGTCTAGGGCAGTCTTTCTTAATCTATTTACCATAGAAGAACCCTTGAAATAATTTTTAGGCCCTAGCAATTGAATTGTAGCATGTCAAAATTTCCACAGTTGCAAGCATTAACATCATGTAGTGCATGAGTTTCTAAATATATATTTTTAATTACAATATCTAAGATTCCATAGAAGCCCAGTTGGCCTCGAAATTAGAAAATCCCATTTTTCTAAGAGTCTTAGAAAAGACCCTTAAAGCTTGTTATTTAAAACCTATAGCCAGCTGCCACATTTGCAACCAACATGTTAAAAGAATGTCTTTTTCTATTCTTTTTCCATATATTTTTGGGGTTGTGTTGGCTTTGTGATTTGGGCTAGTTTGCATACATTGATTTTAATATAGCAATCAGACTATGCTATAATTTTTGAAAATTAATATTTAACAAAAGCATGGCTATAAATTTGCATATATGACAAACAGCATATAAGTCTAACACAATACTTCTATAAATCCATAGAAAATTATATCTAATCACTTGCCCCACATAAGGTCCATTTAAGATTTTCCAACACCAAATTTATTAAAGCCCATTTAAGATTTCCCAGCAACAAAAATAATATATGATGAACATATATTAATTTTTGCAGACCCAGAGCAACCAATTCCTCAAAAAATAATAAATCATCTCAGGAACATTAGAAATCATTGGATTAGCAATAATAATTTCTCTGCTCAAGTTATATCCTAATTTTATGCATAATGGGATAATGCTTATATTAGATCTAATAATATATATAACCTTCAAATAGAATGGTTTTGCATTTTACAGAATTCTTCTTAGGATGATAGAATGGATGGCTTTCTGTTGCTGGCCTGTTTGCATCCACATACAAATAACAACAACAACAACAACAACAACAGAGTTGGAAGGGACCTTGGAGGTCTTCTAGTCCAACCCCCTGCTCAGGCAGGAAACCCTATACCATTTCAGATAAATGGTTGTCCAGTCTCTTCTTAAAAACTTCCACTGTTGGAGCATTCACAACTTCTGGAGGCAGATTGCTCCACTGATTAATTGTTCTGTCAGGAAATTTCTGCCTAGTTCTTGGTTGTTTCTCTCTTTTATTAGTTTCCATCCATTGCTTCTTGTCCTGCCTTCAGGTGCTTTGGAGAAAAGCTTGACTCCCTCTTCTTTGTGGCAACCCCTAAGATATTGGAACACTACTATCATGTCACCCCTCGTCCTTCTCTTCATTAAACTAGACATACCCAATTCCAGCAACCGTTCCTTATATGTTTTAACCTCCAGTCCCCTAATCATCTTTGTTGCTCTTCTTTGTACTCTTTCTAAAGTCTCAATATCTTTTTTACATAGTGGTGACCAAAAATGGATGCAGTATTTCAAGTGTGGCCTTACTGAGGCATTATAAAGAGGTATTAACACTTCACATGATCTTGATTCTATTCCTCTGTTAATGCAGCCTAGAACTGTGTTGGCTTTTTTTGGCAGCTGCAGCAGACTGCTGACTCATATTTAAGTGATTGTCCACTAGTACTCCGAGATCCCTCTCACAGTTACTACTATTGAATGAGGTACCCACCTATACTGTACCTGTGCATTTTTCTTGCCTAAATGTAGAACTTTACTTTTTTCACCACTGCATTTCATTTTGTTAGATAGCACCCAATGTTCAAGTCTGTCAAGATCCTTCTTTATCTTAAGCCTATTTTCTGGAGTCTTGGCTATTCTTGCCAGCTTGGTGTCCTCTGCAAATTTGGTGAGTTTCCCATCTATCACCTCATCTATCCCCTCAAGTACACAAGTTGTTTTGTATTTAGCATCTACAAAGGCATATAGCAAACCTGCAAGCTTGTATTCTAATAGTTGATCCTAATAAAATTAAGAACATAATTACTGCAGTCTGTTGATGTGATTAAAGCACCAGTCTAGAAGCTGGGAGAGCATGAGTTCTAGTTCCATCATAGGCACAAAGCCAGCTGAGTGATCTTGAGACAGTCTCTTTCTCTCAGCTCTAGGAGGCAATGGCAAACCACTTTTGAAATCTTGGTGAGAAACTGCAGGGGCTTGTCCAGAGAGTTGCCAGGAGTCAAGACTGATTCAAAAGCACCAAAAAGCATGTTCTGTGTCTTTTATATATTGTTTATATATTGTTTTTGCAAACCTAATGCATATTTACTTAAGAGGTTACATCAAGGAAGCAAAACAGGACATAATTCCAGGTAAGGGAGAACCAGAAAAAGGTACTTGAAAAAGGTGCTTCATCCTGCTTGAAAAATTCATGGAGCTGGACCTACTCTTTCCTGAAAAATAGCTGCTGTAACTAGAAATGCTAAAAACTTAAGATGTTATTCAACCTCTCCCCGTGGAGATTGTCAACCCTAAATGTTTTGGCTGCCTGTTTTGTTTTTCCCATCAACTTTGTGGTCAGAGTGAGCCATGAAAAATGGTCACCTCTTCCCATGACAAGCTGCTCTCACCTCCTCTTCCACCAGCACTTCTCTCCCTCCTGCACCCTTCAGAGCGTGAGAACCAGGCAAAGTAATGGCCTGGAGAGAGTCCCACCAGCAGAAACAGACTCACTTCTCAGCTCCACCAGGCATGAGACAAGGAAGAGGAAGAGCCTACGGAAAACTTTCACCCCACTTCCTGATAAGAAACAAGGAAGCAGAGCCAGTTCCAGTGGGGAAATGACAGTGTTTTTCTATGCACACATTTGGCCCTGAGGTTTTTCAGGTAAAGCTGAAGCCCACATGGCTTCTACTTACTTGATGTCTTCCCAGATTTCAGGGCCGTAATTCCGAATCACCAGCAGCTCCAGGGCGTGATTGACAAAACCATACTGTGAAAGATAAAAGCCGGGAAAAGTCTTTCATGGCTAGAAGGCTTTGGAACACTTAAGAGTAGCAAAGGGCAAGAGGGAAAAGATGGGTGGAAGCCGGAGAAAAATCCAAGTTGGGTTCAAAAGAAGCAAGAGACTAGGTAGGAAAGCTGGCAACTGTCCCTTCACCTACTCCAAGTATTTAATACTTATTCAAGACAAAATTGAATGACCCACTGAAGGCGGAGCTATTGCACAGAAGGGGAGGGGGAAGGGAAATGCGAGAGACAATCCGGACTGGGACGGATAGGAAGGAGCAGGGTGGGCCGCTGCATCGCTCCGCTTGCACTCCTTTTCTCCTTCGGAGCTCTTCTCTTCCTATCTTCCCCCCATCTCCCACCTCAGCACCGCGCATCTTTTCCTTCCCCACAAGACGAACCAGCACCCTCCGACGGGCCCTTGGAAGCGTCGCATTCACACTCACCATCGCGTCTGCGGTCTACCCTTCCCCGGCTTCGCGGGGATACCGTTCCAGCAACGGCTTAGCGAAGCAAAGGCTGAAGAAGAGCAGGCAACCAGCAGCTCGGCGCGACAGCCGCCCACGCGGGCACCCTCTGATTGTCACCGGACCGTAGCCAATCGCAAGATCAGCCAAGAGGGTGACTTCCAATCAGAAGCAGAGGAGGAATTTGGGTATTCTTCTGGCTCCGGGCGGGGGACGAGAGAGGCCGGGGGAGGAAAATTGATTAGAGGGCAGGAGAATGCGGGCTGATGTACATAAAGCTGGCAAAGGCGTGAATCCCTCGACTGTGGGAGGGAGAAGAAGATGCGAAACCTCGCATTATAAGTGTTCACGTGTGATGCCCCTAATGCGGTGAGAGCAGGATCTTCCCTGTTTCGCACATTCAGACCGCTTTCTCCAGCAATATTAGATGATGCCCGGTCGCCTTAGTTACCAGTTTGCTTTTTTTCTGATTAATATAGAAATGTACCTTTCTAGAAACTGATTTTTTTCAATCTTGTAGGGAAACTGTCTCCGTTATATTTCATTGCCTTAGCTTACTTGAATGAATAGAGTCAATTCTATCCATGATTTCATCTCCAGGAAGTACAGTATACACATTCTTGTAATGGAAATCTGTTACATTTTTATTTATTTATTAAATTTGGTGGCCGCCCATCTCGCCATAAGGACACTCTGTGTAGCTTCCAAGATTAAAATAAAGCCATAAATATATGAATAAATAGATAAAATTACATTAAAATTAAAAATGCAAGTTATAACTAAAGATGGGGAGGAAGAGGGGAGAATGAGGGAGAGGGGAAAACTGCTATTAGTTGATCAACTGCTAGTGTGACATTTCCCCATTGGAACCCCAAGCCAACTGGCAGAGCCAGATCTTCAGGCTTTTGCGAAAGTCTAGTTCTCCAATCCAGGTCTCCAACAAGCTCAGGGATGCTGCTTCTTGATCCTTAGATATTCTGCCCCCTCAAGAACTGGACATTACAGATTGTCCCTTTACAGTCTTTTTCAGTTCATTTCAGCTGCCAATTGACAACAAAGATGTGGATTCTGTTGTAGTTTAGACCTTATTAATAATTGCATACGGAAGAGCCAATCTGACAGCACTCAACTGAAATTATAATTACAGCTGAATGAGCAGGATTAATAATATTAGCATAGACTGTTCCCAAAGGAAATGGGAAAATGCTGTCATTATTTACCAAATTGTTTCATGATTAAAATGAACATTAAAAACGGGGGCTAAAAACCATAACATTTTCCAAAATTATATCTGTACATAGATGGGAAGCATTAAAACAAGGATAAGGGATATGAACCACTTCATTACTGAATTACAACTTTTTCAACCATCATGGATTATGGTGAGGAATATTGGTAACTATAATAGAACATTATTTTGAAGCCTACAGTTTCCCCACCCACTGGAATGCCAAATGTTTCAAAAATATTTCTTAAGGTCTCATTTAAAATGTTTCCTTCTGCCCTCCCCAGGTCTTCTGAGATCCATTTTAAAATTGCAGTAATGTACTGTACTATACTGTCTTGCAAAAGGCATTAGAAATTGTTCATGATATATTGAAAAATTGTATGAAATAAATTGGCAGAAATAAATTGAGAAATGATATTGGTGCCTTCTATTTCTTGGAAATAACTGATAAAGATATGGAGTACAATGATTCAAAGCAATAGTGTGAATTCAGAGGTATGTTAATATTGGATTTTTAATTATACTGTGATTATTAACATCTATGAAGTAGAAAAGGAGAAACTGTAAGGTATTAGATATGCTTTGGTGATGATGCAAAATTAGCCCTTATCAGGATTATTCAAGTTTCTCATTATCTAAATTTATTACATTTTATTGCAAATTATGGTTCAATTCAAATCACTCCCTTCCAATTTTCAGGTTATTGGTTTAAGTAAAATGAAATATGAATCCAAATTCTCACTGCACCTAGATTGCAATTGACTAGAAATAAGTGATTTGATTAAAAATCTGCAAAACAGCCAAACTACACATCCAGTATAAAAAAGTGACATCTAATCAAAGAAAATTTTATTATGATCGGTTTGTTGTTGGAATATAAGATAATCAAATGATTTTGCCAGGCTGATTCACAATTTACAGATTACTGCATTCATTTTCTATATTTATAACCTACACTTTTCTGCTTCATCTGAACTTTTCTCATACTAAATTTATAAAATGTGATATGTGAACTTATGAATTTATTTCAAGGATTTTGATGTGTTTCTCACAGGCCTATGTTTATAAAAACAGGGAAAAAGCAGAACTACTCAATTCGTTTTTTTGCATCTGTATTTACACAAAGGGGGAAAAAAGGCCAACCTATCAAAAACAGTACCGTAAAAAACAGATTAGAAACACAAGTTAAGATAGGGAAGAAAATGGTAAGTGAGCACCTGTCCACCCTAGATGAGTTCAAATCACCAGGACCAGATGGACTACACCCCAAGGTTCTGAAGGAACTGGCAGATGTGATCTTAGAACCACTGAACTATGCTTTCTGGAGCACTGGGGAACTACCAGAGGACTGGAAAAGAGCTGATGTAGTTCCCATCTTCAAAAAAGGAAAAAAAAATGGATCCAGGAAACTACAGACCTATCAGCCTGACCTCAATACCTGGGAAGATCTTGGAATCAAGCAATGAATCAGCAAACACCTTAAGGCAAACAAAGTCATTACCAAAAGCCTACATGGATTTGTCAAAAACAGATCATGCCAGACAAATCTTATTGCATTCTTTGACCAGGTGACAAAATTAGTGGACCAGAGGAATGTTGTGGATATAATTTACTTGGACTTCAATAAGGCATTTGATAAAGTAGACCACAACCTACTACTTGATAAGAAAAATGTGGGTTAGACAGCATCACCACCAGATGGATTCATAGCTGGCTGACTGGCTGTACTCAGCATGTGGTCCTCAATGGAACTGCATCTACATGGAGGGAAGTGTGTAGTGGGGTGCCCCAGGGCTCTGTTCTGGGCCCAGTGCTCTTCAACATCTTCATCAATGATTTGGATGAGGGGATGGGGAACTTATCAAATTTGCAGATGACATCAAGCTGGCAGGAATAGCCAACACTCCAGAAGATAGGCTTAAGTTAAAGAAGGATCTTGACAGACTTGAACATTGGACGCTATCTAACAAAATGAAATTTAGGCAAGAAAATCCAAATACCACATATAGGTGGTATCTTGCTCAATAATAGCAACTGTGAGAGGGATCTCGGAGTCCTAGTGGACAGTCACTTAAATATGAGCCAGCAGTGTGCTGCAGCTGCCAAAAAAGCCAACACAGTGCTAGGCTGCATTAACAGAGGGATAGAATCAAGATCATGTGAAGTGTTAGTACCACTTTACAATGCCTTGGTAAGGCCACACTTGGAATACTGCATCCAGTTTTGGTCACCACGATGTAAAAAAGATACTGAGACTCTAGAAAGAGTACAGAGAAGAGCAACAAAGATGATTAGGGTACTGGAGGCTAAAACATATAAGTAACGGTTACTGGAATTGGGTATGTCTAGTTCAGGGGTGTCAAACTGCCAGCTCGCGGGCCGGATGCATCATAGTGAAACCGCGCCCACCCCATTGCCGGTAATGGCAAAAAAGTCATGATACGTCATGACATGTCACGTGACATTGCGAATTTGACACCCCTGGTCTAGTTTAATGAAGAGAAGGACGAGGAGTGACATGATAGCAGTGTCCAATATTTCACATAGAAGAGGGAATCAACTATTTTCCAAAGCACCTGAAGGCAGGACAAGAAGCAATGGATGAAAACTAATCAAGGAGGGAAGCAACCTAGAACTAAGGAGAAATTTCCTGACAGTTAGAACAATTAATCAGTGGAACAACCTGCCTCCAGAAGCTGTGAATGCTCCAACACTGGAAGTTTTTAAGAAGAGACTGGACAGCCATTTATCTGAAATGGTATAGGGTTTCCTGCAGAGGGTTGGACTATATGACTTCCAACGTCCCTTCCAACATCATTATTATTATTTTTATTTTTATTATTATTATTATTATTATTATTATTATTATTATTATTATTATTATTATTATTATTATTATTTCATACAAAATCTCTGCACTGTCAAGGCAACTCTCTCTCTCTCTTTCTCTGTGTGTGTTAGTGTGTCAATGTGTCAGTCTCTCCATTCATCCACATAAATTGATTCCTGAGTCTACAGGAAATTCATTATAGAAAAAGAATATGGGGGGAGGAGTTCTTTTGATATCAGTATTCCCATCCCTCAAAATGGCACTACTCCATTTTCTCTAGACATCTTCAATTGACTAGACTAAATCAACCTGAAACAATCAGACAATCTGGATTTTAATGCTATATACCAGGGGTCCCCAACCTATGGGCCGCAGCCCACTACCGGGCGGTGGCCTCCTGGCCAGCGGGCCATGGAAATGGCTGGCCAGTGCGTGCATATGTGCGTATGCACTCCCTCCACTTGCGCTACACCTGTGGCCCCACTTGCACATATGTGCAGGCGCAAATGGGGCTGCTAGCGCTGGGCAGGTGTGTGCGGCCCATTTGCACATGTGCGAACGGGGCCGCTAGCTGCCATGGGGAGGTGCATGGCCATTCACGCATGCGCATGGCACTAGCTCATAGCGCATATGCAAACGCAGCCACCAGTGCACCAGTGCATGTGGCCCTATTTGTGTGTGCCCGCGTGCACACACCAATTTGGAAGTTGCTCTCCTTCCCTCCGGGCCGCAAGCCCGGAAAGGTTGGAGACATCTGCTATATACAATGAATTGTAATTCTACACTGAGCCATGGTGGCACAGTGGTTAGAATGCAGTATTGCAAGCTAACTTGCTCACTGCCAGGAGTTTGATTCTGAATGGCTCAAGGTTGACTCAGCCTTCCAACCTTCCAAGGTCAGTAAAATGAGGACCCAGATTGTTGGGGGCAATATGCTGGCTCTGTAAATTGCTTAGAGAGGGCTGTAAAGCTTTCCAAAATACAGTACCTGGTTGGTCATCCAGTGTTTTCTAATGATAAATTTGAACTTGATTTCTTCTACACAGAAATCATTATC